GGTCTAGGCAGACATTTACTAGCTACAGGGGCAGCAATCAGTTTCTTCAAAATTTACTGTTCTAAGCCCATTAGAGTTCCAACACAGCAAGACTCTTCAATGAAAATCTAAAACGCCTATATTTTCTTTAGGAGAATATATGCAAATGTTGTGAGCTGAACTCCTACCCTTTAGTGGTAGAAGCTTTATCATCTGATTTATGTAAATTTGCTCATAAAAATACAGTTTATTTTTAATTGGTGAATATGAATTAGAAAATTAAGATTCTGGTTCAGCATTCATCAGACATCCCCAGTTACAAGCACACATTTATTTAGACCTCCGATCGCCTGGGTGGAAATCAGGTAACGGACCAGTCAATACAAATCGTATTCTCAAGGAAACCATTGTTAGCGCTAGAAATGGCCAGGGTTGTGTTTCTGGCTCAGCCCTCTTAGTTGGGGCCTCCCCCATCTTTACACCTCACACGTTCTTGTCAGGATCATAAGCTAATTAAACTACCTGCTTGAGGAGGGGTTTTCTTTAGAGTAGCCTGCGGGAATCTATTCGGTCTGTTGCATTTTTGCCTTGGCCACTTGTGCTTTCCAGAAAGAAGAGACTTAACAAGAGAACACATTGATGATCGTTCCCCCTGCAAACAAAAGGGAGAAATGGCCACCAGCGAAGGCAACAGGATTCTTGGAGCCTGTCATGACCTTGCCCAACAAAACAAAAATAAAGCCCTCCTCCTTATCATAAAAAATATGCCCATGAAATCATGCAGTTGCAGTAGCCAACTCTAAAAATGAAGTGATGCTGACCTCATTGTGTTAGTTCCATGCCGGGATCATGAATGGTCTAAAATATAGTGTTAGCCTCTCACATAGCTCGTACTAAGTCAACCAAATGTAGAGCCTACTTGCTCGGATATGTATCAAAATCAAAAGTGACATTTTCTAGAAGATACATTCTGGCTTTAAATCTGTGTTAAAATGTCTGTGCATGAGAACAGGCCCTTAAATGCAATGCTTGCCCCCTCTCTTCATTCTTTCTGAATCTGAGCTTGTCAAGGATTATAGTGTGCAACCTCTGCTGACAGTAGATAAATAACTGACAGTATTTTAGCAGAGTTGCTGGGTTCTCTGCAGAGTAATTTGTTTTCTCCTTTCTACCCAGTCTTTAGTGCTTTGTTATAAACATCTATAGCGAGGCATGGTTAATAGCAATGACTTGTAGAGAAAGACATGTAAAAAATACACTGCAATTGGCGATCCCTTTTCTTAAAACCATTTTCTTTATAAATATTACAACATTGCACCAGGTTCCAACCTCTATGTAAATATTCTCTTTATTTTAATGGGCACAGAAGACTCACTGCTGGAGGGACAGAGAAAACAAGTTTACAAGACATTGAAAGATAGCCCTCTCCAGGCTGTGGTTCTCCAACTCTTTGATGTAAAGACCCCTTTGCACTCTTAAAAATTATTGGGACACCATAGAGCTCTCTTTTTTTTTTTTATTAGAGTTACGCCTATCAATGTTTAGTGTATTAGAAATTAAAACTAAGGAAAACCTTTTAAAAATCTACATCAAATCGTTGAAAAGTAACAATAAGGAACCACAGACATGTTAATATTAATGTATTTTTATGAAAATAACTATATTTTAGAAAGCAAAAAAATTAGTGAGAAGAGTGACATTATTTTACATTTTTGTAAATCTATAATGTCTGTCTAAGTAGAAGAGAGTTGGATTTTTATATCTGCTTAAGTATTCAATCTGTTGCAATATGTTGTTTTGGTGGAGGTTTCTGAAGAAAATTCTGCCTCAACAGAGAGAGTTGGAAAAGGAAAGAGTGTTTTAATGACCTGCTCAGATTATTGTAGGTATTCTTCACTGCTACACCAGAACTCAGCAAATAGGAGTTTCTCAAAGGTTAGTTTGAAACCATTCAATGACTCTTCATATACTCTTACTTGCTGTTTAAATGGATTTGGTAACATCGTGCATTGGTCACTTGGAAAATATAGGTTTTATGACTTGTGCAGATATTCCAAGTATTTGACAAAAAATCAAAGAATCACATTGTTAATATCACCACTGAGATCAGAGGAATTTTTGATTATTGCGAAGTTGTCAAGCTCACGATGTAGATACACTTTTTTTCCAGAATTCCAGTGTTCAATTAAAATCTCGAATTTACCATTGCAACAAATATTATCAGTTGTTTTCTTGAAGGGATATGTTCACATAGCTCACATTTGAGAAAATGTCTGCCAGATACCCAAGTCTGATGAACCATGGTTTGTCTATCAGTTCTTAGAAGCAAAGTTAGTGTCTCTTGAAAAGAGCAGCTAGTTAGCTCGTAACTCAATCACTCATATAAATACTTTTTCTCAAGACAGCCATTACACCCTGGTACGCAAAGATGCGGTGTGTGTGTTTCCAGTTTATCACACAGAATGTTAAAAGAAGTCTCTTGAAGGGATGAAATTTAATAAAATTAGTCATTTTAATGCTT